TGTCTCTCTCTCTCTCTCTCTCTCTCTCTCATTTTCAATTTTGAGCATATTGTTGTCAGGGGTCTAAATGAAAAGTGACAGCTTTCTGTAATGTGTCATGACATCTGGTGTTGTCATATCTTCACATCGTCGAAGCATGGGCGTGATGAATCAAGGTATTGTCTATTGAGGGATCATATTCCACTCTTGAATTAGTACATGTTCTAACTGAGCAAGGGTACGGGGCTGACGTGGTGTGGCACGAATGGCGTGATCTAAACTGTCCATCAATTTGTGCTCAATTGGATCAAAATTTGGTGAATGCGTTGGCCATGGGTGCAGGAAAGGAATGCTGTTAGTTTTCAGAAATTGATTTGTCACAGCAGCCTATTGAGCAGGTGCATTACCATGCATGAATACTTGTCCTTGGGCTTGATTTTGAAAGAAAAGTAAATTGGGTTCGAGAACTTGGTTGATTTAACCTTGGCCATCACACGCGAAGCTTTGCCCAGTGAAGTCTGTGCTAGACCTGGTGGGGCTGCAGTTTTATGCGACAGACTAGGTCGCTAGCACGAAGGTTCCTATTTTTTAAATGAAGAAGAACAGCCATGACAAAGATCGGGCAGTCATTTCTAAGTCTTTTCGACTCATCCTGGGTCTTTGTTTGCCGTTGAAATTGATTTCTGAAACGCTACGTTAGGATGAATGTGTCCACCCTCGGTTTTGTCTTTCTTCGATTGTACTTGCTTGGGTCTGACCTGTGGGGAGCCTATCTTTGACATGGGATCCTGTGTGGCATACACAGTATATCTGTTCACGTTGAAACTTCTCCAGACTAACGAAAACGTAGTGACCACCTGAAGCATTTCAATTATGTGATGTCTTTCTGGCGCATTATGTCGAAGCATGGTGAATCGATAAAATGAAACCGTTTTTGAAAGAGGTGAACAATTTGGAAGGAGTTCAACTTTACGTGTGCGGTTTTTGTTTTAAAAGTTACACACACATTTTCCCATTTTTTGACAAAATATCAAAACCCCATGAATGACATTGTCAGACTGAGATATAGACCAATGCACCCTAGTGAGTACAGTTCACGAACCACAATGAGCTTGCCTGACATGTGGAAACATTTCAAAGTAATTGGATGTGTAATTTTTTAGCTAGGCGCTCTTAAAATGTGTGAAGTTAGAAATGTTGAAGAGTGCATACAGCGGGGGTTAACTCTCCCAAAACAAACAAACAAACAAACAAGCAAAAAAAACACATGAAGTCTTCTTACACACTAGTAATTTGGATGACCAAAAAAGGCCATTCCCAAGCTAGTGTTAACCCCCCCCCCCCCCGACACACACACCAAAAAAAAGAAGAAAAAACAAAACAAAAAACAAAACAAAACAAAAAACTGACAACAAACAAAGCAAAAAATCAACACTGTATGATGTGATATGACGTACTTTAATCTCCTTGTTTGTTTTTGTTCTTGTAAAGTGTTTTACGGCGCTCGCAACTGCAAAAGGTCATATGAGCGCGCGGGACACACCATATATTTTCAGTTGGTAGGAAATTTTGAATTTTGCCCGGGTGGCGGCCGAAGCCTACTCTTATCGATTTTAGACCACCAAGGGATCTTTAACGTGCGCAACTTGCACACGGGCCCTCCGAGATTTTTCGCCCTTGTCCGAGAAGGCTAGGTGTAGATCTTTCCTACCAGAAGATCAGGGGTGTGGCAGAAAGACAGCAGTAAGGAGGAGCCACGGAGTAGCAGTAGAAAGGCTGCAGAAAGATTCAGGAGCCCAGAGGAGGGAGCAAAGGAGGTGAGGGGCTGGGGACAGAAAGTGGAAATGAAAGCAGACAACAGAACATTGCTAGAGAGCAGGAAAGGAGGTGAAAGGAGACACTTTTAGAGAAGAACATTTTTTGGTCGCTACCCGGATTCGAACCCGGGACCTTTGAATGAGAGGTCAACACCTTAACCTCTAGGCCACGAGAAAAGGCTTACACTTACATAGTTTACCAGCCCATTGTATACGTCCACATGAAAGAATCCATAATTACATGGAAAAGGCTTACACTTACATAGTTTACCAGCCCATTGTATACGTCCACATGAAAGAATCCATAATTACATGGACATGGAAAAGGCTTACACTTACATAGTTTACCAGCCATTGTGACCATATGTATTGCCGTTTACTTAACCGTCTGCGCACCGAAGAAAAAGAAATCATGTCTACAGCATCCCTGCTGACTCAGCCAATAACGTAGCTCAAAGCAGATGTGATAGTTGCAAGCAAGTGTTTGACACAAAAACAAACAAACAAAAACCAAAGCAAAGACATCTACAACAAGATAAAATGAAATGACATCTCAGTAAATTATACTATAATGTGTGATTTGTAAAAGATTCGGAGAACGTGTATGCACAAAATTATTGTCCTCGCAGAATCATGATTCAGTCTTTTAAGCGATTCCGGGAAAGTTCAACATTGCCATTCGCTGCTGTGTTGCATTTTCCCAACAAGATTCCCAAACGCAGGTGCAATCTGAATGCCTCTATTTGCCTTGAGGGCAACGTGAGACTTGGCTTTGAGCTCTCTGTCAGCCGTTATAAGTGGTGGCGGGCGTCTCTCGATGACTTCTGACCTTCTCTGCAACAGTCCCGGGGAGCACACAGTGCCAGACCGACGCTGGGGAGTCGGTTTGTTCTGCTCCACTTCTTTCTTCCCTTGAGCAGACGATGACTGCTGAGTGTTCTGTAGTTGTTTCGCTAAAGAACTACGGTTTTGTTCCGTGGACGAGAATCGTAACCCCTTACCATCGTTATAACCAGGCCGTTCAACTGTTGTACTTTCCTGGCCCGTCGTTCGAGTCATTTTACTTCCTGGACAACGACCCGCGTCAAGGTTCTGTTCACTTTTGTCTGCCCCTGATGACGTCATGTCGTCGTCCAACACACCAGCGCTGCTGTCCGGCGTATCCACCAAGTTGTCGCCACTTGAGTCGTAGCAACTCGACATCCCGTAACGTGGGGACATCGGGCCCGCGGACGAGGCGGAGGCTCCAAGCTCAGAAGTGCAAGTGTTGTAGTCGTCGTCGTCGTCGTCGTCGATGGATTCAAACGAGGGTGTGATTGCCACGTCCTCCAGAAGATCTTCCTCGCTGTGCTCCGCGGCATTCATCCAGTTCGGTCGTTCAGCGAGGATGTAGATGGCGCGATGACACAGGAAGTCTCCCCACGGCACCAAGCTGGGGACAAAATCGTGTTCAGTGGACATGAAGGAGTGAATCAAATAGTTTTACCCCCTAATCAACACAATTTAGATCATTTTGGGAGCAGGGTATAAAGATTTTGCTTGTCGATGTCAAACCATTTTGAATCGGATACTTCAACATCCCAGTAGACAGGACGAGATATTCGATTAAGCAAATTCCCCACTCGAAAATTCAACTCAGGACTTCATGAAATGGTGAAAATCATTATGCGTGCACCACAGACTCCAGTATAATTATATGAGTGACATACAGTTAACAATCCCTTTCCAAGAAATGAAAGGAATAATTGATTTCTACATAATGTACAGGGCAGTTGTGAATGTTTATTATCACCCGACACACAATGTCGATTACCAAAGAAACAGGCTGCTTTGATCCTGCTTGGAATTGCCACCTCTAGCTACATGGGATAGCACAGACCCATACAAAATACAGAAAAAAACACCAATAAAAACCTATACGCAAACGAACAAAAACAAAACAAAAGAAAAAACCCCCAAACCAAACAACCAACAACAAAAAGAAAACAACAAAAAAACAAAAACAAAACAACAACAACCCCCCAAAAAAAACCCAACAACAAAAAAACAGAACCCCCCCCCCCCCCCCCCCTCGGGGATTCCACTTCAATTATTTTTAAAAAAAAAAGGGGGGGGAACTTTTGATTTGTTTTTTTTACAGAATTATATATATAAAAGAACGCTCCCCCCACCACCCCCTCGAGGAATGCAAGTTATTATGGGGCGGGGGGGACCTTGTGAGGGGGTGCCAGGGGATTAATAATAACTTTTTTGGCACTTTTTTATTTTTTTTATTTTGGGGGGGGATAACCCGGCCCCCCCAGTAAAAAAAAAGGGGAAAAAATTTTTTTCTCCGTCCCTCGGAGTGCCTCGGGGGGGTTCCCCTTGCCCTCTGTTAACCCGGAGGGCCAAGGGCGGGAAGGAGGAGGGGGGAAAAAAAAATATTTTCCTTTTTGGGGGGGCCAAAAGTTTCGGGAAACGATTTTGGGGGGGGGGGGGGGGCCAGTTCCCAGCCAAAAAGGGGTTTGGGGGTGGGGGGGGGGGCGATGTTGCACCTTTCTTTGTTACTTTTGGAGGCAAGACGGGCCAAGAGCAAACTACTATCTTAATTAAGCAGAATTCTCACCTGGAGAGATCTTCCTCTGTGTACATCATCGCCTCGTCAGGGAAGTGCGTGCTGCTGCGACTTTTGTCACTGCCAGAGACAACGAAATAAATTAACTAATACTCTTTTGACTCGTCACGTTCATTAATACATACATGTGTACAATTCATGACATAAAAAAAGAAAATAAAATAAAAGTTGGAGTTTATCATCACTTATTGATTTATACCAAGATCAGTTTTATGAATCAGTAAAACGGAGAAATTTTTTGATAAACTAATTGATTATTTGATTATTTGATTATTTGATATGGTCAAATAACTCCCCCTCCCCCCACTAAACCCCAAAGCTTATTTGACATTTTGATTTGGCTGCGTTTCTAAAATAAAGCATTAAAAGAGATAGACCTCAAAATAGGGGTGATGAACGACGACAAATAAATCAGCCCCTAACCTGTCAAACATGGCATGAATATCGCTCTTTTTGGCAACGCCTTTCTTTTCTCTGTCCAGGTTCTGGAAGACAGTCCTGGCCTCTTGCAGTTCTGCTTGGGTCAACAGATTCACTAGCGACCTCTGGGGACAAAGGACAGAACAGGGGAAAATAGAAACGATATCAAACTTCACTGTGGATGGAGAATGTAGGTGGGTTTTTTTACGCCCCCATCAATACAATTTAGATGATAATTTAAGAGGTGGGCTTCCGACCCTGCGTGCCAGGTCAACCTAGGCTGAGGAGGATACAACATTCACGCTGAAAGGCCGAGATACTCGAAAAAATACATGTTTTCCCCACTCAGGAGTCCCACGAGGCTAGGGTCTTCTGTGAGCGACAGCAAAGCGCCCTGTCACAGCACACATGCTGGTAAACGTCACTGTGATAGAAGGGTCTTCTGTGAGCGACAGCGAAGCGCCTTGTCACAGCACACATGCTGGTAAACGTCACTGTGATAGAAGAGACTAGTTCAAATGCATCAACCATCATGGTTTTTACTCATTCTCCATCAGTTCGCAGAATCTTTTATATTGATGATATCAGGCTTTCTAGTTTCTTTTGGTTTGAATAAATGTATTCATATCCAGCAGTGTTTCATTTACTTTCTACTCTATTCTCTGAAGGCTGAAGGCGAACTGAATGAAATTTGTAACAATCTCGAGGCCTTTTAAGTATTACTTCCTTATTCGTGGGTGGAACCCCCCTCCCTTCCCGAACAAAACGACGTTCTAATTTCTTCCTGTTCGTCATCTAGCAACGTGTCAAGGTTCAAATCCATTAATTTTCAACCTACGTTTTAAAACAAGTACTCGTGGTTCTCCAATATCCGATGTCATTTGAATGACCCTTCAAAAATAACGAGGTCACACTTCTGAGAGAACCGATATTGGGGTGAACAAATTTTCAAAAAGATCATAGGAATGAAAGAAAAAGGAAAGAAATGAGCGACTCACGCTGCATCTGTTGTCCAGAATCCGTATACTCTCCATATTGAGGAACTGCGTCCAGCTGAGTTGCCCTTTGTTGGCCTTGTCCATCTGTCGGAAACGATGAGAGCAGCTGGCTTCGCGTTCTTCCGTCATCTTCTTGCCAGAGGCTTTTGCGTCGTCTTTACAGTACTTTAAGTAGTCTGCTTCGCTGATCGATTCTAAAAAAAAAAAAAAAAAGAATTAATGACCCTGGTTGATTGAAAATTAATGTTTTACGTCTCACTGGCACAAGACTGCTTCGAAGCTCCCTGTCACAGCCAATCTGGGTTGAGGATACTCAGTAAACTAGACTTCCCCACAACATGAGAATCGAGCTCATGTCTTTTGCGTATAACGGCATTAAATATAGCCATGTAAACGTTTTTCCCATCGGGAAACAGTTTATGACAAAAGTATTTGGAACAAAGTATTGATGACAAAAGTATTTGGAACAAAGTATTGATGACAAAAGTATTTGGAACAAAGTATTTATGACAAAAGTATTTGGAACAAAGTATTTATGACAAAAGTATTTGGAACAAAGTATTGATGACAAAAGTATTTATCCTCGTTCTCAAACGTACCGGAAGAGATTCCGAGGTCAATCACCGCCTCCATGACTCCGCGAACTTCTTCTTGTGTCAACAGATGATTCAGGGACACCTGGAGAAGACACAGTTTCGTTTCAACAAATGATACATAATATATTATAGATCTACTGTCTGTTTGTCTGTCTTCTTGCCTGTCTGTCTATTTGGTTTTTTAAAAATCTATATCTATAAAGATTAAATGGATTTGTTAGTGAATCTGTCTTGAGTATGTCTCTCTTGCATTATCGAAATTGATGTCAAAAGAGCAGAACATGTCATACGACTTGTGGACGGACAGTCTGATAAACGGATAGTTTATTATTATAATAATTATCATTAATATTGTTATATCATCATCATCATCATCATCATCATCATCATCATCATCATCATCATTGTTGTTGTTGTTATTGTTGTTGTTGTTGTTGTTGTTGTTGTTGTTGTAATCATCATCATCATCATCATCATCATCATCATCATCATCATCATTGTTGTTGTTGTTATTGTTGTTGTTGTTGTTGTTGTTGTTGTTGTTGTAATCATCATCATCATCATCATCATCATCATCATCATCATCATCATCATCAT